TAGGGTTTAGGGCTTATAGGGTGGCTAGAGGGACTTTGGGATTTAGTGGTTTCGGGGTTTAGGCCTTAAGTTTGGGGCTTTTGGGGTTTAAGGCCTTAGAGATTGGGGATGCCGGGCGTATAGGGTTCCTCGAAGCTTTCTGTAAAATAGTTTGTATGATGAGTTTGGCTTGTGATGGTTCTTTGTTTGACGTGTATAAATACATAAATAAATAAATAAATGAATGAATAAATAAATAAATAAATAAATAAATATATATATATATATATACGTATATATATATATATATATATGTATATGTGTGTGTGTTTGTGTTGGTGTATGTGTGTGCTTGTCTTGCTTGATGGGTTTTAGGGTTGAGATGTCAGTATGGCCGAACGTTTTCATAGTCTACGGTTTATGTTTGTATCATAGGGTATACGGCTTAGTTTAGGGCCAAAGATGTAGGGCTTGTGGGTTCTATATTACACCCTAAACCCTAACCTCTAATACCTGAACCTAAACCCTAAACCGTAAACCGTGTGGGTTCTATGTCAGTTCTAGAGGGGCTTAGCTCGGTTGGGCAGCGTCGGGCTCAGAAGTTGACGGTTCCGGGTCTTACGGTTTAGGTCTTAGGGCTTTTCGGGTCGTCCATGGTGTGCTTTCTGCTTCCTGGTCTTGGGGTTTTGGGGTTTAGGCTTTAGGGTTTAGGGCGGGTTGGGGGGTGTTTTTGTTGAGTTGTGTGCGGATCGTCGTAGAAAGGTCCGAGCTGAACAAGCTTCTCGCATAGTGAAACAGTCAGTAATCGTCGCTTGTAATCGTACTAGCAATGGTATGCACATCGAAGCCCAAACCATATGGATAGTTCTCTAAGTTAGGTTCCACTTTTGGCACCTTGGCTTTAGAGAATTACCCGTATCATAACCACACCCCTAAACCCTAAACCCAATAATCCAATCCGAGTTGAAGACCCTTCCTATAGCTTCCCAGACTGACAGGAGTCTTTTCGCCGTGCTTTGAGCGCTCTGCCGGAGCTTGCTGAACCCCTTCCCGTGGAGCGCACCTTCATTCAGAAGCTTGGCGTTCATGGTTTAGGGTTAAGGGATGAAAGGGGCTGGGGATGTTTGAGTTTAGGGTTCAGGTGCTGGGGGCGCAGAGTCTTTGGGATTTGCTTCAGGGCTTCGGGCTTAAGGTTTAGGGCTTAAGTTTAGGGCTTAAGGTTTAGGGTTTAGGGTTGAGGGTGGGTTGAGGGTTTAGGGCTTAAGGTTTAGGGTTGAGGGCTTAAGGTTTAGCGTAGTGTCGCAGCCCGAATCTGACCTTTACCTAGTGCCTCAGCGAGACAACCACCCTCCAGTTCAGTCTGCTCCATTGTCGTAAACCCTAAACCCTAAACCCCTAAAGCCCTATACCCTAAACCCCTAAACTAGACCTAAACCCTAAGCCCCTGAACCCTAAACCGCAACGCTTCACGGAGGTACAGTGGGGTGCCTGGTGCCCTGAACCTTACAGCCCGCAACCCTCAACCTTCAAGCCCTCAACCACAACTTCTAAACGGTTTAGGGTTTAGGTTCTAAACCCTAAACCCCTGCAACCCCTAAACCCTAAACCCTAAACCCACTGCAACCTCTAAACCCTCAACACTTCCAACTGCCCAGGTTCAGCACCCGAGCGATCATCCACCGTCGTCGTTCTCGTTCAGTTTGAAATGTGGATGGAAGCTGTTTGAACAGAAGTGTGAAAACCCCTAAAATCCTAAAACCCAAAACCCCTATAAGCCCTAAACCCTAAACCCTAAACCCCTAAACCCCTAAACCCTAAACCCCTAAACCCTAAACCCTAAACCCTAAACCCTAAACCAAACCAAGCCTTGCCTTGATCCGAAGCCTGAACTCACTGAATCCCAAGCCCTACACTAGGCTGAGTTTAAGTGTTCAGGGCTTATAGGGTTTATAGGGCTTATAGGGTTTTGATAGGGTTTAGGGTTTAGGGTTTAAGGCTTTAGGGGTTTAGAGTTTCAAAGGGTTTAGGGGTTTAGGGTTGAAAAGGGTTTAGGGGTTTAGGGTTTAGGGGTCTAGGGGTTTAGGGTTTCGGGCTTTGATGGGCGTAACGTAGTTCCCCAATACCCAACCTTTAAATTTTTTGGGCTCTTATAATTTACTAGTAGTAACCTTAAAGTGTTACCTTCTAGTTCTCTGGCTGTTTTGGGGAAGTAAGTAGGGTTATAACCCTAAATCCTAAACTTAGGGTTTAGGGCAGTAGCAATTAAGAATTCAGGCCCTCCTGATGTTGAGAGGCTCTTGCTCGATCGTGGGCTTCTATCTGCCCAGGTCATTCGCCGTGAAATGGGTAGTTCTCTAAAGCAGGGTCCCTTTTTAGGCTCAAGGTTCGAAGAGGGTGCCGTATCATCTTGAGGATCTAAAATACGCCTAGAGGCTCCATACACACTATCATTACGGAATTCAGTCCCCAAACGATCATACTTATTATGGCTTTAGGGACTCCAATTCCATAATCGTGGTAGTATATGCGGAGCCTCTTTCACAGTGTAGCTGGACGGTGCTACCCGAAGCATCTTCATACTTGTGGGACCCTCAGATTCGGAGTTCAGAGAATTACCAATACTTGGCGTTATTTTGCTTGGCTCTTAGGACTTTAACTTTTTGGGCTTCTATATGAACCATAATAAAGGAGCTAAAAGTTTAACTTTTAGGAGGGGTTCAGAAGTCAGCCAAGAATAATTACCAATCTCATTCCTTAGGGCTCCTTATTGTGACGACACTACTAGGGTTTAGGATTTAGGGTTTAGGGCCTTAGGGTTTAGAGTTTAGGGTTTAGGGTTTAAGCCCAAAATCCTATTCTAATTATCAAGGCCCCTACATTATACTACATTATACCCCAAACCCTGAACTGCCCTAAACCCTAAGCCCTTAAAAAGACCCATGGGCCCTCCTTAAGAGGTTCACGCCAAGCATGAAACTCGAAACCCCGACACCAAAACCCTAGCCATCTAGGGTTTAGGGTTTGCGGCTTAGGGTTCAGGGTTTTAGATCGTAGCCTAAACTAAACCTCGCATCAGAAATCTCTAGCCCTCACTTCAGATGGTAGTCTAGTTTGCCGCGGAGCTTTCAGATAGGGCTTCATAAGGCCTGGATTTGTTTTGGCTTTTTGAAACCCAATCCCCAAATCCTGACAATAGCCCGTTTAAGTCTTAACTTGTCCAATTGGCGAAAACGTTCTTGACAGCTTCTGCGCCTGGGCCTTTGCTTTGGCTGCTTTAGCTGCTTCTGGCTTGGCCTTGGTTCTCGCTTCTGCGGGAAGTCTCTCTTGTCTGACCCTAAGTACGTTTACGTTTTAGGGTTTAGGGTTTATTGCTTATTCTTGTATTTTAAGAAACAGCGAAAATACTGGTTTTTGCAAGGGTGCCAAGTTCAGTACAACCACGCGTCCAAGTACCCAGAAACAATTAAGGAGGTGCTCTCAGGCTTTCATAGGTTTAGGGTTGAGGGGTACATTCAGTTCGGAGTTCGGGATTACCTGTAGCACCAAACCCAACCCAACAGAGTAGTAGGTGATGAGCCCTTAATGAAGTACAGGACCGGATTCAACCCAAAACCCTAAAACCCTAAACCCTAAACCCCTAAACCCCTAAACCCCTAAACCCCTGAACCCCTGAACCCCTAAACCCTGAACCCTACCTAAACCCTAAACCCCTAAACCCCTAAACCCCTAAACCCCTAAACCCTAAACTCTTAGCCCGAAACCCCTCAACCCTGAACCCCTAAACCCTTCAATCCTGAACCCTCATTAGTCTCGGTTTCGAACTGTCGGCTTTTGGGTTCGGGGCCCTAAACCTAGCCCCTAAACCCCTAAACCCCTAAACCCTAAACCCTTAAAACCTAAACCCTGAAGTCCTTTAGGTTTCAGGGTTTAGGGTTCAGGCTTTAGGGAAGCCTATGGATGTCCGGGTCTTCAGCGTTTTGTAGAGCTTTGCCTGGGGTTTCGAATGCCAGGGTTAGGGTGGAAGAAAGAGGAGTCCATGAGACAGCAGTAACACATCACGAACTACCGACAGTTAAGCCGCCGGGTTTCGGATCTAGGTCTTAGGGTTTAGGGTAGAACACGAGAGAAGAGATGTGATTGAAAATGTCAATCCGGAGACTAACCGTGGCGAGCCACGAAGCATTTGCTGCTTCTTCAACAAGGTTGTGCAGACCTTAGCGAACTCACGATTGTCCTACGTACTGTCGTGGTTCGCTGACAGAACCCCACGTCGTGCGCGGCAGTGGGCCTCAAGCCCAACAGCCCAAACCCTTTCCTTGTTGCTATTGGTGCCAAGATTGGTCATGTTGTGTGGTCTGAGTGGGGCGCGAGGCATTTGTTACCTCTCTTCTGCAAGGTTGTGCAACCTTAGCGAATTTCATGCTGCCATGACCGTCCCATGCACGGTCCTGTGCTGCCGGAGTTCCGTTGTTCCAGCATGTAGGTTCAGTTCCGGAGGATGTTCCCGAAATGTGGTGTGTTGGTGTCCTAAACTGTAGGTCTTAAGCCGAAAACCTAAACGCTAAACTCTAACCCTAAACCCCCAAACCCCAAAACCCTCAAACCCTAAACCCTAAAGCCTCTAGAAACCCGAAACCTGACACCCTCAAACCCTAAACTAAACCCTAAAGCCTTTAGAAACCCGAATTCTAAACCCCAAAACCCTTAAACCCTAAACCCTAAAGCCTTTAGAAACCTGAAACCTAAACCCCAAAACCCTTAAACCCTAAGCCCTAAAGCCTTTAGAAACCCGAAACCCGAAACCCCAAACCCCACTTCGCTCGTTCTCAGCTCAGACCTCGGAGTACTTCTGCTAGATTCCCCAATAATCCCCCTTAACATCTCCGTATGAAAACAGAAATAGTAAGGGTACTCCTTCGGTTAAGGAGCTACTCAATGAAATACTGAGTCTTGTATCCCAAACCCTAAACCCCAAACCCTGAACCCTAAACCCTAAACCCCGGTTTTGCTTCTCTGAGAATTAACTCTGTTCGCGCTCGGTGCTTTTCTGCAGAAGTACGGTCAGGGTTCAGGCTCCGTGCACGCTGAAAGGATTTGCTCAGGGTTTTAATGGGGTATCTGGGTGGTTCAGCTATGGAAGGCTGGGTAATTAACCCTAAACCCTAAACACTAGTGTTCGACGTTTCGTATTGTAGTTGTGGTACAGTATACCCAGAATCCCCGAAAGCTTATTCTATATGGGTAGCTCTCTAAATTAGGGTCCCTTTCTTAGGGCTGAGGGTTTAGGGTAGGTCCCCAACATGGTAGGGCACCCTTATCAAAAGGACCCCAAAGGGGATCTTAATTTAGAGCACTACTTGGAGGGTCGGAGGACTTCGTAAGTAGGTTATAAGTAGAGTTATAAGTGCCCTAAATGGGATCCTAATTGGGGTTGTGGTGCTTATAAATCTGTAGAAGTAACTACTTGCTAAGTCCCCCGACCCTCCAAGTACCCGTATCTTGACGCCGGGAGAATAAGAGGCTTGGTCGAGATCGGCTGTTTTATGTATGAAGTCTAAAGGCTCCACCATTTTTGCTACCATTCTGGAATTAATTAGGTCCTTGAAGCCATGATAAGTAGGTTTAGGGTGTAGGGTTTAGAGGCTCCATATGTACTACCATCATGGAATTAGGTCCCTAAAGCCATAATAAGTATGGTCTTTTGGGACTTAATTCCATAATCGTAGTATATACGGAGCCTCTACCAAGGCTCGTTTTGTGATGTCGTGCTTTGTTTAGAGACCCTAAACCCTGACTCAACCAAAAAGGCCCTGTTTAGGGTTTAGGGTTTAGGGTTTAGGGTTTAGGGTTTACCTGGACCCTAAAGAACCATAAAGAACCTATCTTTTTAGGGTTCCTTATTATGATTTCCTTATACAAGTCCTTAAAAAGGTAGGTTCTGTAGGGTCTAGGTAGGGTTTAGGGTGAACATCAGCTGGACCATAGCGGAGATCTCCGATTTCATGCGTTCTGACTTGAAGAACCACTGCTTGCTCGTCTTTGGTGGCCTTTCTTGGCGTGAAAATAAAGTCTCGACCCGCACCCTTCGCCGTTTAGGGGTTTAGGGTTTAGGGTTGCCTGAACAAGCGAAATCGTCAACTATACTGAATACTGATACGGGCTACTACAGGGGCCCGAGAACTAGAATACGATCCATCTGGAGGCTGCCCGAAATGGTACGGCTGCAGTTCTCAAAGAAGTCTCAAAGTATGGCCTTTTGGGCGCATGATCATACTGTTCCTGTACTCGGATGATTATAAACACGACATCGCACCTGTACAAAACCGTATGAAGCCAGACGCAAGCCTTTCAAAAAGGATTCTCTACTCTATAGCCCTTAACATCGAAATAGCCCAAAAGCCGTATATGATAGGGTCTCTGGGCCCAAAAAGCCTTAAACTATGAGTCCTTTGAGGGGGGTAGACTTTCAGCCCTCAAACCGTCCGACTCGTCAGTGAAGCAAGTAAGGAATATAGAAGCCAAAATAATTACCAATGCTATTGTGGGGGTTTAGGGTTTAGGGTTTAGGGTTTAGGGTTTAGGATTACCAATACTATTGTGGGGGTTCCTCCCCAAAACCCTATCTGATTATTAAGGCGCCTACGGTAATGTAGCCGCTACGTGAACACCTCGACCGAGTGGGGTTTCGGACTAAGAAGCCTGAG